TCTCTCTCCCCCCATTTTCAATTCAAATTAAAAAAGGTCCATACTACACTTACACCAAAAATTGAATCTCATTTATATATCACAGTTATATACAAACATTTTGATAGTTTACACCGACATAAGTGTTGGTACATTAACAAATATTTATACGAATGCAAAGTGTTGGTCATTATCAAAAATATGTTTTACACCAGCACAAAATATCGGTGCAAACCTGCGATGTACAAATGGGGTGCAAATTAAAAGCTTCTGGTACAAATAGCTTTATCCTTAAAAAAATAATAATCTATCTGGTAAGCTCAGATGATTTAAGGGATAGTACCACAAAGAATTCAATTTCTTACTTCAATTTTTTTTTCTCATTAGAAAAATCTAGAGAAAAAAAATTAAATAGGACTAAAACATAGAAAATATACCTAAATAAGAGTCCAAAATATAAATTTTTCTAATATGAGTAACTTTGCATCGGCATCTCCAAAATATGTAAATTTATTTTTAAAATATGTAAATTTTATTTTTTTAATTATATACTAATCTTTAAATAAAATGAATTTAAAAAATTTGAATTTTTATTTCATTTTGCGTAAAGAGTAAATGATTTAGGAGTGAAAGGAATATTAAAATTTGATGAATTTAGCTTATTATGAATTGATGACTATCGTTTGGTAAATAACTAAATATGTGTTTGTCATATATTATTATGTATGTATGTGTGTGTGTGCGCGTGTGTGTGTGTATATGTGTGTGTGTGTGTGTGTGTGTGTGTGTGTGTGTGTAGGGGGCAGTTCAGGTGAGAATGCACCTTGGTGAAAGAAATAAGAAAAAAATCTAGCTTTTAGATTTGATGCATTGTGCGGCTCATATTGCATCATGCACTCAGATTTTGAGATTATGCATTTTCAAGGGATTATGGTGCATTTCTACATGATGCATTTTCAAACCATTTTGGTGCACCTAATTTTGATGCAATCCTAACCCTTAGATCTCACAATCTAATGCACCAGATTCATTCTTATATCTTTCATAAGATCGCATTCTCACCTGAACCAAAATCACACATTACAGTGAGATGACATGCTTCGGTGAGATGACGCAAAGCTTACCACATTACACTGCAAAGCTCACCAATGACCAATGTAAAGCTCACCTGGAAATAAATCAAAGATTACCACTTTAAACAACAAAACTCATTTTCTTTTTAATTTTGAAAATTAAAAAAATAATTTAAAATAAAATAGCAACACCGGTCAACCAGCTGTCAACAGCGGCGGCGCGGCAGAGACCGGCGGCAGTGGTCGGACGACGGCGGCGGCCGGCGGTGGCAGGCGGTGACCGGTGATGGGCAACGGTCAATGGTCAAAGTCTAGTTAGCACCCCTTTCTTTGATTTTTTTTTCAAAAAAATTCAAAGTCTTGAAAAAATATGGTGAACTTTGCCTAACAGTTTGGTGAGCTTTGTAATTGTTTTTGGTGAGCTTTGCAGTGACCAGTGGTGAGCTTTGCGTCATCTGACCGAAGTCGGTGTCATCTCACTGGAGTCAATCCCACACACACACACACACACATATATATATATATATATATATATATATATAACATATAATAAGACATATTTTAAGAATAGAAAATATTTAAAACATGTACGTATATGTATGTTAAACGTTCAGCTTGCATAGTATGCCGTATTTTATAAAATCCTAATGTACTATATACATGCGTACACATTAAGGTATTGTATACAGTCGTATAATATTAACTAGGCCGATGCAATGTCAAGGAACCATCTCTACCAAAAGTGCAAACATGTGGTTGCGGCCTAAGAAACATTTTTTATATTCTAAAAAAAATTAATCAAAATTAACATATAAAATAAATACTCAGTATCTCATTAATATTATTTTTTACATTAGAATGACAAAAGTACAGAAAAAATTATGAATCCTCTCGCGATAAGGTGAGCGAGTACCGAATCGATACCGAATTTCCGAAAGTTGAAAAATATCGAACCGAAAAGATATCGCCAAAATATGGAAGGAAGCATACCTAACCGTATGTTCAGGTTGTTTTTTAAAAAAAAGTTTAGTGATATTTTAATGTTTAAATTAAGTGTGAACGTACTAATCTGGATTTGTACCGAAACTGATAACGAACCATCTCAAACCAAAATTTTGAGATCATAATCAATACGATGTAAAATCTCATATTGAACGAAAATATTTAATTGGGAAATTTACTTAAATATTACTAGACTTTCCCTAAATAGTATCACATGTGTTTTTTTTTCAATGTAGCACTTTTAGTCATTATCCTTTAGTCATTATTCAAGTAAATTTTCCCCATCATTGGACATTATGAACATTATTAAGTGCTATTTAGGGAATAAAACAGTTTAAGTACTATTTAGAGAAATGACTTAAGTTTTAGTGCCATTTAGTACAAATATTTCTATTTAATATGATATTGATACGAGTTAATAGCCGTAACATGCTCACACGTATCTCAGGAACTTAAGTGTTGGGCTTAAGATGCAAATGGGCATAAACGATGTGTTTCCCTCCTTCTGTTGATTATTAGCCCAATAGAATTTCTACACCATTGTGGCATTGAGTTTGTCTCGCAAATCATCAACTACTTTACAACCATCTCTCCCTATTACCCGGAGAAAATGAGAATCCATTGCTCTCAAGATCGATTTTGAAGGTCTGGTTAATGGATTTTAAGCTAATACCCTCTCCATCTTAATTATTTGAAAGTATATCGATGCTATTTCTTCTTGTCACATTAGAAAGTTACTCTGTGTTTAGCTTTTTTATTTTTATTTTTGTGTGTACTTCTCTTTCTTTCTTTTTAAATAAAATTGTTTTTTCTCATTATATCATATACGGAGTATAATATATTTAAAAAAATTAAAATAATAAAAAAAATTATTTTTTAAATTACAATTGTTTTAGCCAGGTGCTGAGTATATTCAACTGGGGTATATTCAATCGATGAGAAAAGTGCTGAGTTTAGACTTTAGACATCTGTCTATTGCTTTGGACTGTAGATATTTTTCCGCTGTCTAAACTCTGTACCTTTCCCATCGGTTGAATGTACAACGGAGATTTTTGGCTGTGTAAAGTTAATTTTATCCGATATGTAAAGCTTACTTTGTAGTAGTGTTCCCAAGTTCCCAAATTATTTTAAATGCTTACGAGGTCCTTATATTTTTTGGAAGTGCATCACATGTCTCAAAATCATTTCTAGTGTTAACCCGATCTCTATTCTTTTTAATTTGTGCACTAGTAGTCCCTTAAGCAGCTTTTTTCAGACCAAGTCTCTTGAAATCGTTGTAAGAATTAACGTTATATCATAGATTTTTGAACAAGTTGTGCATATTGCTCAAATAATTTCCGCGCATGCACTTCATATGAAAAATGTCACTCAGGGACTACTAACACATCAGTTAGAGAGTATATGAACCTGATATGAACTAAAAATAATTTAAGAACTTTCAAAATTATATAAAGATCTAGTAAGCCCTTAAAATAATTTAAGGACTTAGAGAAACATTTTAAAGAAATATATAAAGAAAGTACTTTACCCATTTTGCATAGACATAAAGTTAATGATAGAAAATATTTGCAAAGAATTTCTCTTAGAGCATTGAGGAAGTCAGCTAAAAAATTGTAGGGTAATTTTTTAAACCATAAATATCCCTTCAAGCCTTTGCTTATATATGCCTACATCAAACTTAATTCTCCAAAATTGAAACATCAAATGGTATGTATCGCATTGGATCGGAAATGCTTTAAAAGGGAGTATGTAAGTTCTTAGAAGCTTCAGAGAATTCGAGGCGGCAGTAGATGCACGCTGTTTAGCTCTGAGGAATTCTTATGGTCTAATTAAGTCATGTGTAAATGGAATTAAATTGTTGTTACCATAATAATTAAGCAAAACGGAACAATTTGCAAGAGAGACTTTCGGAAATTAATCAAATATAAATAATAATAATTGAAATTAGAATAAATAAAAATAATGCACATTTGAGAGAAATTTGGAAAAATTGGACATACGCCCACTAATTAAGCCATGCTTAGCCACTAATTACATCACACCATGTGAAACTAGGTCATGCCTGTCCACAGTCCACAATAATAATGCATGAAGCTAGAGCAATAGCATATTTTTAATACCCCTCCTTCTCACAATATTTGTCACAATTAACAATAACTTTTACTTATATTCGTTTGCATATTTTTATTGATTACTCCGTCCGTCCAAAAAAAAAATTCGCCTTGATTTGGCATAAAGATTAAGAAAAGTTTAAAAAGTTTACACTTTTTTTTATTTGATGTGAAAGAATAAAGTAAATAGCGTAGAGAAAAAGTAGAAATATAATGATACATTCATTAAATTCTTTTGCCAAAATAGGAAACTTGAAAGAAATTTTTGGAGATCCAAAAAAGAAATTGAGAAACAAATAAATGGACGGGAGGAAATATATGATAAAATAAAATATTTTTATTACATCTTGTTTTATGAAATTTTTTATGAAAAATTTGCCTAAATAGGACTAAAACATAATGACTTTCCCAATATAGGAGCATATGTTTTTATTTCCCAATGTAGGACCTTTGGTCATTATGAGGTAGTCATTATTCAAGTAAATGTCCATCATTACTGGACATTATTCTTCCCACAGGGTCATTATTAAGTCTTATTTAGGGAATAAAAAAGTTTAAATCTTACGTTAGGAAAGTCATTATGTTTTAGTCCTATTTAGTACAAATTTCACATTTTTTATATACTTTTGAAGATATAATTTATAGGTTTTTCTATAAAAATTTAAAATGAAAATGATGAAATTTTGTTTATTGTTGAAAGAATCTGAGATTTGGCCCTACTCATTCTGCAGGCCTATATAAAATCAACCTGGCGCTCAACTTTTACCCCCCCCACTACTTTTTTTTTCCTCCTTAACTTTCACCGACTCTAGAAAAGATTAACCTGAATCCAAAAACATTTCTTTGTCTTCTTTCCTCTTTATTTATTTTCCTACTCGTAAAGCTCCCACAGAATATATATCATATCGTATCGAATCCAAGCCCCCAGTAAATGTCTTCCGACAGCGGAGAGAGACGGCCGGCGAGGACGGCGGCGCAGAAGCCGTCGGAGGCGGAGAGCCACCCCTGCCCGCGCTGCGACTCCATCAACACCAAGTTCTGCTACTACAACAACTACAACCTCTCCCAGCCCCGCCACTTCTGCAAGTCCTGCCGCCGTTACTGGACCCGCGGCGGCACCCTCCGCAACGTCCCCGTCGGCGGCGGCACCCGGAGGCCGCTCTCCAACAAGCGCCCCCGGAGTGCGTCCGCCTGCAGCGTCGTCTCCACTTCCGGAATGCCCCCGCGCGAGACAGGCCGGGTGGGATCCGGGTCGGGCCGCGAGGTGAACCTGAACGAGGCGGTGCCGGAGACCCGGACCGAGAGCTTCACGTCTCTGCTGTGCGGCGGGGGTGGCGGAGGCGGTTTCATGTCGCTGACCGGGTTCGGGCTCGGGCTGGGAGAGCCCAACATGCAGGGGTTCGGGTTCGGTCTGGGCCTAGCGGATTGGGCCGCGGATCCGGTCGATGGACAGGTCAACGGAGGCGGGTCTACAGTCAATTCCGTGCCCGTGACTTCATCGACCTGCAACGCTTGGCAAATCGGCGGCGGGCTGGTGGACGGCAATCTGGGCGACGGCGGCGATTACTTTGGGTGGCCGGAGCTTTCCATATCAGCTCCGGGGAGAAGATCCTGATCATCAATAACCAAAAACAAGAAATCCATCTCTTCATGTTTGTTTACAAGCTCTACATATGAATATATTTCGACGATGGCCGGTTAATTTAGTGTTACAAAAAGTTGATCGAAAAGCACCATAAGTAAGTAAAGACTGTTAATTACTGCTTCATTCAACTACTGGGTAAGTATGTCTTAATTGTGTTTCTCGAAATTCTTGGGGTTTTTTCAGTAATTAGTCACGGTAAACGCGTTTTACTCCGTGCTTTGGGGATTGGATGGGGTGAAAGGGAGGTTATTGATTACACTGAGTCTTAACTAATGTAGATCATGAATTAAGATTGATGTTCTTTTATGATGTGCTTAAGGCTGTGTGTGGGGAAGTTAAATGAGTCACTTATTTTGAAATCCAAATCTATATTCTACCCTAAACAAGTTTTTGGTAATTTAGACTAATTTAGAAGAATTTTACCCTAAACATTTAATTTGGGTTAAAATTGAATTTGAAATCCAAATCTATCATTACATATTTTACTGTCAAATAATTTTCAATTAAGTATTCCTTCCGTCCCATTACGTACACTATTTATAAGGTTAAATTTAATATACTTTGTTTTCCTATTTTCGTTACTCATTTGGTAACTCTATACAATAATGTCACATTTAGTTTTGTAAATATTTTGATGTAGTTTTTTAATATATAATTTTTATGTTTTAATTTAATACCTACATTTAAATAAACTAAATTAAAAATAAAATTAGTCAAATATCGTAACGCAGAACGGATAGATTCAAATGAGACCGAGGGAGTATGTTTTATCATTTGCTTTTGAAACATTGTTTATATAAGAAAAATTGTGAAATCAAATCATAAAAATAGTTTACACAAATTTTCATTTAGAAATTACTCAAAATTTTTAACGTGGTTAGGTTATATGATAGAGAATGGTTCTTGGCTTGTTGAATGAATGAATCATCACGCCATGCCTACTATGGGCAATGACTGCGTAACACAATGGCGTTTGCTTTTTTTTTTTTTAACCATATTTTTGTGGAATGTGTAATGTTAAGAACTGTTTGGTGGTGGGGAAAGATGACGGTGGACGACGACCAATGTAATTAATCTGAAAAGCTGTGTGTTGGAAACATCCTAAATGGAGAGAGAGTGGGGGCCTAGGGACCATTACAAAAAAAACATGAACATTGTAATTGTACAATTTTGTCATGTTGACCACTTTTGTTTTGAGCCTTTCAAGTAGCAGCAGTATTAGTAGTATTCCCTCTCTCCCACTTTTGATTACAATATTCTCATTTAGTTGAAATTAAGAAAAACTCAAATCAAATTTTTTTTCCCCAAATCCCCAAATATCATTCCTACTCACATGGATGAATATTGTGAATAGTGGCTGGCAGAAAAGAAAAGGGAGGGTAAAAGAGTCAATTTATTATAAAGTTATTGACTTTGTAATCTTTTTTGGAACAAAAATGTGAGAGAATATTGTAATCTATTTCGAAACGGGGGAGTATAATAAAAGAACATCCAAAAGAGAAAATAAAATTTGGAAATAGTTGATTGATGGGATGGGATGTGGTGCACCCAAATGCAACTCTAAATAATGTACCTCGAAGTAAAAAAAAGACCATGCTAGGGATACACCAAATAAATAAAAATGAGGTTAAAATGAGTGATAGAAAAAAGGGTGGGGGACAAATGGGGTACACTTTTGATATACCCCTAACATTTTTCTTAAAAAAAACCTTAAAAAGATTGATCCAAGATTAGTAGAATCATCCTAAATAAAATTAAAGCATAGAACAGTGCCAAAATAGGATTTCTCATGTTTTCATTTTTGAAATTGGAGTTCACGGCCTTCACGCTGTGGTAATGTGAAGGTAATGTGACAACGTACACAGGCATATTACTATACTTTTTGGTAATGTACATGACCACATTTGGTAATTTAAATGTATTTTAACTTCTATTTCGAAAATAAAAACATGAAAGTTCTATTTTGATATATTTTCAATATTTTACCTTTACTCTAGTCTTTTTTTTCCCGAGATTACTCAAGAGGAGATAAATGAGACTTTAATTACAGATTAGCGACAAAGATTAAAACTTGCATCTAGTACGTGTAGAGATTTTATGTTTAACATAATTTTTCTCTCAGCATAATTATCAAAAATAGAACTTAAATTTATTCCCTTTAACACACTTTGTTCACCTAGGAGAACTAAAACTCTAATGAAAGAAGGTTTGGTTGGGGGGGCAGTTGTAGTACACTTACCTACTACTTGCAGCAGGTTGTCCAACATCATCGTCCCAATCAACCATTTGGTTTAACCTGTTCCGCTCTTCACTCATACTCCGTATTTTTTTTTTGTTTTGGGTTAAACAATTTTAGCTGGATGTTCAAAGTAATTAAAAGTACTCCGTAAAAAATCCGAAAGAATGAAAAGTTGAAAAGAATTACAAAAAGGCAAATTTAATCCGAAAGTACTCCGTAAAAAGGTTTGAAAGAATGAAAATGGAAAAGAGTTACAAAAACCTATTAGAATTGGAGAAAAATGAAAAATGTTATTATGAATTGAAATCAATATCGTACCGAGTACGAAATGTTATTATATTTCATACGAGTCATTTTTAACCTTGTCCAAAAATTATCTTCTCGTTGCGCGTTATGATATTTGATAGAAGTTATTTTCAAATTATTTTATATGTAAAATGGCGTGAAATTAAAAAATAATCCCAAAACCAACAATTCAACTTTTTTAAAAAAATTACTCCCTCTGTTTTTTTAAATATTTTCTCTTTCATTTTTTTCCAAAAACAATTCAATTTTCTATTAAAAAAGCACTTCTACCCCTTGTTTTCTTATCCTATCTATCGCATCACACTATTTCAATAATAATTTATCCATCACGTCTTATTTTTATCCATCACATCAAGGACAAAATTGGAAAGTCAACTATAAATATACACTTCTTATTTTACAAATTAGTCAATATTGGAACCTTTTTTTTGAAACATAGACGTTCTTTTTTGAAAATTGTATCAAAAGATCAAAAAAAACTAATAGTGACATAACTATATTTTTTATTAGATGAGCAACGAAAATAAGCTAACAATGTAAATAAAGTTTGACTCTATAAATAATGAAAGTAACAAGGACATAATTTTTGTTTCATTTGTACTTTTTATATGTTTTACTATCTTTATCTTGAACGGTTAACCCTATTAATACAAGTAACATTTCTATGATTCACACTTATTTTAATTTTCTTACTCCATATTTTTATATCAATATTAACCACATAATTTTTTAGTTTTTAATTTCGATATCACTATGATTTAAAATTAGTGGGACAAAGGATGCAATTTTTTAAATATTTATTGAAAATAATAGTTACGGATTTTAAGAAACATACTCTAATCTGTAACATTTTATTCTATTAATTTTAATTTTAATTGCATGTAAATTATTAAAAATGTAATGTCATATTGAAGTAATATATACTTCCTCTGAATTATCTTCTCACACAGTTATTATATTTTCGTCTCTCAATCATTTTTGTTTATTTCCATGTTTTCATTGATATTATTACTCCGTACTTGTTTTGTTATGTTTTGATGTAGTTTAAAAATACTCTCTAGTCGAAAAGGAATGTTACATTTTACTATTTAAAAATAATGAGAACTTATGTTTATTTAATCATTTTCATCGATTGATAAAATAAAATATTATTATTAATTCTTATTTTGAAAATCTTTTGACGTAGTTTTTAAATATATATATATTATTTTGTATTTCTATACTCATCTTTTAAATATACATTTTGTTTTATACAATTTATACTTTTTAATTCTATATACAAATTTGTAAATAAAATTATTTTAAAATACGGGTCTTTATGTCATTACCAAATTGAGATGATAATTTTGAAACGAAGAGAGTATTAAAATAAAGAATTTTTCTAGAATGCAAATTTTTTGAAAAATGAAACCAATCATTCGTCCAACATTGTGGACCCATTCCCATGACTTTCATACTACCTCCAATCCTATTCTAATTCAACTTTTTTTTTAAAAAAAAACTAAACAAATGAAAAAACATTGAACTGCAATTACGATCAATTTATATTGTACGGAGTATATTAGAATAATAAAATAATGTTTCGAAAGTCATTAACAATATAGATCTAATAAAATCATTTTCAAAGTTCCTTTTTTACTCGAAAAAAATTTGAACAAATACACTAACATACAAAGAGTGTAATATTTATTGAAACAATAAAAAATCGTGATGGAGTAAGTTTTTCTTGAAATTCTTGGACGTTTATTACTTTAACAAAAATGGTTGATGTACATCAAGAAACACACAAATGTGTACTATAATCAAGCCTCATATTTGTACTTGAGTTTGTCTGTACCATACAAATTTGTTCGTGAACTAAATTTGTCTTGATGCACTTCAAAGATCACCTTATAATCAATTTTATGGGTCGGTACCCCTCCGATTTGCACGAACGGAGCAATGTAGGTGTCCCGATCTCTGATTTCACAAATATTCCCTGATGTATATTCAAAGGTTATGGTATAGGGACTAATGAAAATGCCATGCTACTCATACTCAAGAACATCAAACCAATACCACTCACTGGTAACTCCACTGAACATATGAGCCCCCCCCCCCTACAACAACCAGGTCTGCCACAACCATGCTCTATGCCTCAAGAACTTACCCAAATATCCTTTGAACTTCTAAAACCACAACCAATTCTGGGTTCCATTAGATGCTCTTATAAAATTGAAATTGAAGAACACAAATATTCTATAAAATTTAAATCCTAAAACATTATGAAGATAATTTTGGGATGGATGACACAAAAACAAAAATATGGAAATGTTCAATACTCTGTATTTGATAAAATAAGTTGTTTATGTAGCAGATGCAGGCTATTTGAAATACTCCCTCCCTCTCAATTAGTATTTTAGTCCCTGACAATACTTGTTCGTTTATATGTTTTTGTTGATTGTTTAATAAAATAAATTTTTTTTCCCACCTTGTTTTGTAGAACTTTTGGTGTAACTTTTAAATATGTAATTTGTACACTAAACTGCTATACCAATTTGTAAACCAAAAAATTTAAAAGAGATGTGATTGT